GGTGAGGCGTTCACATCTTTCAAAAGGATCCAGTGAAAGCGAGGCTCCTTGTGAGGCAGATGGCTGGGCCCCAACACTGCCACCAGCTCTTCCTCTGACCAGGCTCCTCCCCTATTTTCGGATTCTCCGTGCATATGCAGTCACCTTCATGCAGGTGCTGCATAAATTGCAGTGCTCTGTGTTCTGTGCTCCCTCGTCCTTCATGGACACTGCACGAGCGCACTCTGCCTCCCCGTGTGCCCACCTCCTTTCAAATAGCTGCCCCGGATTTCCACGTCTGGCCGAACCGCCCGTTTAACCAGCCCTGAGTCATGGACTCCAGATGCCCATGCTTTCTGGAGATGTTTCTTTTCTCCGTTCGGAACATCTTAGGAGTGCTGGTACCTGACAGCTATGAAATAAATGTCTCATTATGTGCAGATCCTTTCCTTCGCCCTCCGGGTTCACCCACAGCCAGTCCTGCCTCCATCCCTTCTCCCTTCCTCCAGCAGCTGTCTCCTGGGTCCCCGGCCGTGGGCGGGATACCCTGCTAGGCTCTGCTGGCTCTCCTGCACTTTCTTCTTTGTTGCTGGAACTCACAGCCACTCTTCACCCTATGTTTCACTGCCTAGTTACTTCTACTTGTTAGTTTAAAGAAAATGTGTTACTCTTAAAAATCGAGACTTTTTTAAAAAACAGTTTAAGGGAGAACCAGTAGTTAGCGTAATGGCTGTCGCTGGACTCCCACGTGGTCGACCGCGGTTCGCGTCCCGGACCCGGTGGCTTAAAACTCACGCCGGGTGCGTGTGCGTGCGTGCCCAAGATCCTGAGAGGAGAATGGAGGAGGGATTGCAGCATGACCATCCCCCCCGGGGGGTGATTTCTCACTTTCTGTCTCTATGTCTCTCTCTGTCTGGCGAGCGCACATGCCCTATAGTGAAAATCTCTCCAAAAAAAAAAAAAGAAAAAACAATTTAAGGGACCAGCAGCTAGCGTAATGGCTATGTCACTGAACTCCCACATAGTCAACTGCACTTGGAGTCCGGGACCCATTGGCTTAAACTCACGCTGGGCGCGTGTGCGTGCGTGCCCAAGATCTCGAGAGAAGAGTGGAGGAGAAGGGATTGCAGCGTGGCCATCCCCCCTGGGGATGATTTCTTACTTTCTGTCTCTCTGTCTCTCTGTCTTTCTGGCGAGCGCACATGCCCTATAGCAAAGACCTCTCCAAAAAAAGGGGGAAAAAACGATTTAAATATAATTCATAAATCTAAACCTCAAACTTTACAAATTCAATTTTCTTAAACATTTATACACTTCGCCAAGTAATTTTTCAATATAAGTCTAACGTGACTTCTCTTAAATGTTGTAAACACCTTAACAACGCAGAAGTTTTTACTACACCCATACCTAAAACTACTTGTAAAATTCCTGAGCTGATCAATTTCTTTGGCTATAAAACTTATTTTGGACTTTCCCAGGACTGCATTTAGGGGACTCAAAAGAGAAAAATGATCTCCTTCCAAGGAACATTGAAGGGGCAGCTCCGGGCTGTGGACAGTTGGACCGTGGTGGCAGTGAACAGTGGCTGTGGCTGTCTCAGACCAGGGCCAGCTG